AGTTAGAACAAAGTGGAATCCAGTGAAGATGACATTTTCTTTGAGGAAAATAGAAGCTACGGAAGGAAATGTGAGATAAATAAAATCACTTTGTGAAGCTGAGCTTGGCGTAGCCATAGCGAAACTTATCTGTTTTATATGACTATGATTATGCTGTGTTGTTCTTAGCAACCTCATATATATTTACGTTTGGCATGATATTAAAAGAAACAACTTATAACTAATTTCAGTCTTTATAAGTAAGTTTCTACATATAACTAATTGGTACGTTGTTGGTTGTGTGTCACGCATTTTTCATATTTTTTTCCTAAAAATAGTTTTGTGTTGTTGAGCTACCGTGGCACTACTGTACCTCAATTGTTGATATCGATATTTTTGACATGTTAGCATTATAAACATTAAAAAACAATTATAAATTGAAAAAATTTACAACACGGCAGGACTTTAACCGCCATCAACAGCGTTATGTGCTGTTGCTCTAACCAAGGTAGGACACGGTAGCTCAATTGGTTCAAGGCCTGCCCGTGTCGAAATTTTTTTTCAATTTTAATCGATTTTTAACTAAAAATAGGTTTCGGTGTTGAGCTACCGTGTCACAACTGTAGCTCAATTGTTGATAATCATTTTTTTCAACCTAAAATTCCTTTTCAATTTATATAGGCTTTCAAGTGTACATTATACAGACTCACGTGTTCCTCATATTGATAAAAATTACTTTACGCCGAAGACACCCTTTTAAAAATGGCGGAGATTATCACGTCTTCGATATTCAAAAAGAAATTAAAGGAAGACATCTTATACAATTCCGTCACGCTCGTAACTCCCCTTGGAAGGGTTTCCGAAAATATGCTTTTTTGATTGAACGCTTTTAATGATTACTTCGATAATGGCGTCACATCAAAAAGGTGAAAATGTCAATTGTAAAAAGTTATTTAGAATAAAGCTATCGTGACATATTTTGTAGTGCAACTGCAATTTACTGGTCACAAGACTTGGTTCGCGTGGCGTTGATTATTTTTTTACTTCTTTATTATAAAGGTCAAGCTACGCTAAGCTAAGCCGACGAGCACAGGGTTAACTTGATTCGAGTTGATATACCCCAGTCATATAACTAATCTGTCTAAACAAGTTGTGTTGTTGACCTATTTTGGCTTTTATTCGGAAATTGAGTGACAAAATCCATAGCGTGATTAAACAATGCGATTTTCATCTGTGGACGATGGTTTGTGACTCGGATGGAATTTCGATGTTTTAATATCCATATTTCCAGACAAAGACTAACATGGATTCGAAAAATTATTAATTGACTATGATCAGGAACGACCGCCTCTGCAGCCAAATGGTTAAAGGTATTGCGTTAAGTGCGGGGTCCTGGGTTCGAATCCCAGGGACACATAAAATTGTTTCGGTCGGGCAGGGCACAGAAGTCTGATCAACTACTTGCCCCTTAAAAGAACGGATCAGTGAAACGGACACAGAAATGTGTTCGCCCCATGCCCCACGAGGGGGAAACGGGCTTTCACTTTAGGAACGTTGATTATAAGCTACATCGATTAGACCAACGAGCCCGACACAATTACTGACCACTCATCTTGGATTTATGTCTCTTGGATTTTGATTGCTATACGAATATTACCAAAACTTTTTTCTTGAAAGAAAATTTACACCATATATTGTATTTTAATTTTATAATATGTGGAAAACTTAACAGCTAACAATAATAAATATTTAGTAACAGAAAGTGTAGAAAAGTGAAGCTTAGGGAAGTTTTCACTTATAGATCGAAGAGAGTACAGTTATACAATTGAATGAGATCCTTATGTCTATATACAGTAAAAGTTAGAAGTTATATAAAAAAACGATACAATACAACATTTCACATATAAAACGTACAAGTTTGGGTCCAAGGTTCATATACGAAAATATTCGTTAATACGGCCGATACTCGACGCGAAGTAATCAATAGTTGTTTGATATCCAAGTAAACTATGAATATATAATGTATGCCACTTACCAACACAATATTGATTAACAATTAACATTACTATCTGTAATTTTATCTAACTTATAAGTACTTTATTCCTATCCGCCTCTAATCGATAAGGTCAATGATGTCAGACTTTTGTTTCAGAATACGTAATAAAACATGGTGAAACGAACTTTGGACTCCTGTCAAAAATATGACTCTAAATGTAAGTATTTATTTGTGAAGTAGCATATAACTTCTTTAAGAGCTTGCTTTATTACAAATTATTTTGAGTGGAAAACTATTACTGATAACGTAATACCTAGAAATAAATATTGTCTGTAGTTTACACATATAAATAATAGTTTTAACATATTTAAAAGCGAAATGTATTAGTTAACTTATTTACAATTTATTTTAACTACGGCCTGATATTTTGGATGCCTAACAGCCTTGGTCACTGGGGGACTGGTATCCCTAATGGCAAAGACACATCGGGCCGTGGTTAAAACAAGTTGTAAAGAAGTACACTAATATATTACGCGATTTAAACCAATAAAACCGTAAAAATTTAAACACTGTATGTAACATTTGAAAATTTTAATATTATTCACACGATGGCAATATATAAATTAAAAATCTAATATAAATTGAAAAAACATTACACGACACCGGCACGACTTGAAACTTGAACCTTAGCACGGATTACTGTTGATGCCGGTTCAAATCCTGCCGTGTCGTAATTTTTTCAATTTATATTAGATTTTTAATATATACATAATAATGTAAAAAATATTTTATCCTAGCCAGAACCTAAATTTAATATGAAACAGATATTTTTGATTCAGGTTTTGAATAAATATTCGTTTTACAAGTTAGCCTATCCATACGACTTCTGGACTATCGTAGCGAATGGTGATAGAACGTTAATTAAAATCGGTTTGATAGTTAATATTGTAACACATTAAGGAAATCTCTCTACGATTTCCGTGTGTGGGCAAATTTCCACCGCAACTTAAGCTTGTTTGACATATTTATTTATTCAACGATAAAGAATAGTAACAATGAATGTGGTATTGATGTCCACCTCGTTTTGAAATAATAAAAAAAACTTGCTGCTGCTTATACAAAGGGAAGTGCGATTTATTTTCTTTGTGAAAAACAGCTGAAATCCGATACAGCCCTCCCCCAACCACTCTCGGTCCCAATGGCCCCGCGTCTATAATACACTTTTATACTTTTTAATTTCACTTTACTTACCTTTATGAAATGCTAAGAGATTGTAATACGCTATGCTCATAGTGGAATTGAATATTAAACGAGAATCTTTTATTTCAGTAGTTTGATAAGTTTTTTAAGTTGTTTAAAAATACTCCATAGCAGTATACAGATTTATCTATACTAATATTATATAGATAAAAAGTTTGTTCGGACGTGCTTAACGCAGGAACGATTCGTTTGACGATTTTAAATACGTATCGTTGTATTGGATAGACCATTCTTACCAGAAGTCTATAAAACATCAAGCTGCAACTGCAATAAAAGGAATTGGTGGGAAATGTGGAAAAAACGAGGATAAATCTGTGAGGGTTTCCGTTGCGCGCGATGTGAAGACAGTTCAAGGAACATGTTTTTGTTTTATTAATGATCTAAAAAAAATATTCGCAACCGTATACGAGTGTGTCTATCTCTTTAGATAAACTTTCAATAACGACGCGGACGATGTGTAACAGCTATAATTTAAATAAAACACTTTAACGGTTTAAAACGCGATATATTAGTTAAACTTATTTGAAAATGATTTTTAACTTCGGCCCGACGTTTCGGAGGCATCATATGCCCAAAATAACTATTCCAGACGGACGAAGTCGCGGGCACAGCTAGATTCTACATGATCATCTTCGTTTTCAATAGAAGTAAGAGGCGAAGCAGTGTAATTTATTTTATATTTGATGTTGTAATTAGTATTATCTGCCAATAACATCGCTTCTCTACTGTTAAAACTGTTTTATTTAAGCTTTATTAAATCAACCCCTTATATTGTATTTTGTCCGTAGCTCCCCGAGCTCGCAGCCTCGTAACTCGTGTAGTAGATTATGAAAGCTTTAGTTAACGTAATGTTAAACCTAGGAGGTAGAATGCTATTATGTTAGCTATGATAAAGCTGAACGAGCTGAAAAGAAAAATGTTTCAAGGCTTTTAGCTCGGTTATTATTAACCCGATTAGAAGGAAATATAACCTTTTTAACATAACCTATTTAAAATATTAGGAATAAAATAAATCTGCGGTCGCACTTTTAATTTTTTAGTAAAATTGGCACAGCGTTATATATATATAGGCGTTGTAAAAAGCATTACGTTAAGCGCGAGATTACCTGGTTTATAATAATTTTCTTTATATCTTACTAATAATCGCACGTTTATATCTTACACAATAAATAAGTAATACATTTTCTATTTAAACATTACCAAACACGGACTGAATACCTTAACAATAATTTTGGAAGCCAAGTTAAGATTTCTTGAATAGTTTAAGGTCTAAAGAAAATATACAAAGTTCCACAATTACTCATACCTATTATAAATAAAGTGATTTTATGTGTTAGTATTTGGTATGTTGTAAGTAAGAATTTGCATTACTCCAATCCATGTTGATTTTTTCCTTTTTTTAGTTTCCCTCTCTATTTGCGGTTGCTCAGAAGAAATCGCCATAGGCGGTAAGGTCACCTTTGCCTTAACTTTTTATGTAAATAAAACAAACAAACAACAAAAATCAATTTTAAAAAATTACGACACGGCCAGGACTCGAACCGGCATCCACAGCGTTCATGCTGTTGCTCTATAGATCGATCTTTGCATTATATAAATTAAAAATCGATTTTAATGCCAACATGTACTTTGTAATTTAATTGTTTGTGCAATAAAGTATTTAATTATTTGAGAGACCAATATCCTTCGCTCTTCGTGGCTTCGTAGTCGGGTAAAAATGTTAATTATTTAATTCGCAGCGGTTACTGTGGATTTTCGGTGAAGGATGGAGGTTGCCGAGGAGAGTGATGACCTACTGCAGTGGGAGGGCTTCTATTTGCGCCTGCAGGCACAAAACTATTCCTACAATACTACCGAGTGGGTTCCATGGAATGCATCCGATTCCAACCGAACTTGGTGGGAGACATCTTCGTCCTTTGACTCTCCAGCAGCGTTGCTCCGCGCGGCGGTCAAAGCTGTTGTCTTGGGGCTGCTTATTTTGGCAACAGTAGTTGGTAAATAATCTGGAATTATATATATATATATATAGTCTATATTCAGATTTCCTATAATTAAGTAATAACTTCTATTTCCACTTTACTGTCCATTAAATTTTTAATTTATAATTAAGAAATCGCGATATCAGAATTAATATCGCGATGGTGGTGGTCACACCAAAAATCATACAAAGAATATATATACGATATAATAAAATACATAATTGGGTTACAATTATAGCATACACTAACTTTGCTGTAAAAGAACATAACTCAGCTGTTGCAGCAATATCGGATTTGTTGCAGTGCCGATTTTCAATTTGATTTATATCGCGTAATAACCGTGTTTATTTAATTTCTTTACAGGTAATGTATTTGTGATAGCGGCGATATTATTGGAAAGACATTTACGGAGTGCTGCCAATCAGTTAATATTGTCTTTGGCTGTTGCGGACCTGTTGGTGGCATGTCTGGTGATGCCTCTAGGCGCCGTGTACGAGGTTGCACAGAGGTGGACACTCGGTCCAGAACTCTGTGATATGTGGACTTCTGGAGACGTGCTTTGTTGTACAGCATCTATACTGCACCTCGTTGCAATCGCCCTTGATAGGTAAGAAGCTATATATAAAACATTTTGTTATTTGATTGTGAATTTAAGGATCGTTTACTCTACATACTCGCGGGCCAGGTTAATAGTATCAGGTATTTATTAAATATTTAATATATAATATACATACATATTATTAATTGGAGGGTAGTTTCAAATTTAGAAATAGATTCGTATTTAAAGTATTATCTGCCTAAGGCCAAAACTTAAAAAAATCGACGTGGACTTTAATACATAACAGGTGACTGTCATTTGTTTTTGTAATAACCAATAATAATTGCCATCAGCTACCTAAGCTTCGAAACTAAAAAGAGATTTCTTGTTCCGCAAAAACCGTGAATGCTTTTCCGAATCGATTTTACCTTAAGTAATTGGTTATTGGGAAGAATCAAGGGGCGGCGGGAGAATTTATTTTCGTTGACATTATTAAAATAATTGTTTGCTATTTTAGAGTGAGTAAATTCAAACATCGTTTATTTATGTAGCTACGTACACATCGCATCTTTGGTTGCCCGTAGAAAAGTTACATTATTTAATTAATAGGAATTTCTCATATTTTCCTAATGCTTATTTGATAAGAGTGTTCATAGTAGGTTGTTATTTTTGTTGATGTTATATATCTTAGATATTAAAGGCTGTTGTTAATATTTATATTATGTAGTAGGAGTAGGTACACTGCATCGTTAAACATAATTTCTATACACATTTTTTAATATAAAATGGCTCTTCTGTGTTGTGAGCAACAATACAGTTAAAATTTCAAAGCTTACGCTTAGCTCAGTCCCCTTGTCTTTCTTTCCAGGTACTGGGCGGTTACAAATATTGACTACATTCACGCCAGGACAGTACGTCGTATCGGTTATATGATAGCGTGTGTGTGGATTGCCAGTTTTTTCGTGTGTATCGCGCCCCTCCTCGGCTGGAAGGACCCCGATTGGAATCGGCGAGTTTCCGAGGATTTAAGATGCGTTGTCAGCCAAGACGTCGGCTATCAAATATTCGCGACTATGTCCTCATTCTATGTTCCCGTGCTTGTTATATTAATTTTATATTGGCGAATATATCAGACGGCCAGAAAAAGAATACGTAGACGGCACGGTGCGACCGCGAGAGGAGGCGTCGGACCGCCACCAGTCCCCGCTGGCGGGGCTCTCGTAGCGGCGGGTGGGAGTGGGGGCATCGCTGCGGCAGTCGTTGCCGTGATAGGACGTCCACTGCCCACTATATCAGAGACAACTACCACTGGAATGACAACTGTCTCATCCAACAACACGAGCCCAGAGAAGCAGTCGTGTGCAAACGGTCTCGAGCCAGACCCGCCCACTACCGGATACAGCGCGGTCGCTGCTGCGTACTATCCGTCCCTGGTGCGCCGAAAGCCCAAGGAACCCGCTGATTCTAAACGGGAACGCAAGGCGGCGAAGACATTAGCGATAATAACCGGTGCGTTCGTTGCGTGCTGGCTTCCATTTTTCGTGTTAGCTATACTTGTACCGACGTGCGACTGCGAAGTGAGCCCGGTGCTCACCTCCCTCTCCTTGTGGTTAGGGTATTTTAACTCTACGCTGAATCCCGTTATATACACGGTGTTCAGTCCGGAGTTCAGGCACGCATTTCAGCGACTGCTGTGCGGACGAAGAGTGCGGCGAAGACGTGTTCCACCCTAATGGCTGGCCACGTAACACGATCGTGGCGGACACCAACGCGTCTAGCGAGCGATCAGAACGAAGCGAGTCGCGAAGTCACCCGTATGGTCGCCACGTTCGTTGCGTCGCCGATGACACCGCCATCTTCCGTGGCCAGGTGATTACTTTAGCCTGTAGGCAGTAGGCGTTAACGGTTCAACGTGTCCCTAGAGACTTCGCCCCAACCCGACTGACCTCGACTATCTCGATACATTGCGTTATCTTGTTACATTTTCAGAGATATATTTACACTCCCTTTATTTTTTGTACTTAATAAATGTGAATATGTACTTAAAGGTAAAAGTATTTTAAGCCCATTGTTATAAATCAAATCTCTAAAATATCATACTATTAATTTATAACCAAGTACCTACTTACATAGAGAACTGTGATTTTTTTTGTATATTGTGATAATATTAGAGTTTCTTGTAAATAATGTGACCCCATCCTGAAGATGCTAATAGCGGTTTCAATTGAAATATAAATTATAATTTAATTGAAATGATGTTTTCTTTCCTTAAATACCATAACTATTATTATTCTTAGACACAGTATTTCCATCCTACACTAAATTCACATGTAACTGGCAACACAGTATACAGTTCTAATTTTGACACATTAAGGTCTTACATTAATGTGTTCTGTAATCTTCTACAGATTACAAATATTCACCCAAAAACAATATATACTGGCCATAAAGTCTATATAAAAAAGTGTGTAATCTAAAAAATACAATCTCTTGAATAAAAACGGTTTAACATTTAAAAAAAACGAAATATATTTAACAACGGCTCGACGTTTAAACCATTATAAGTATTTTATTGTAAACCACAGACAACACATAAGCGTATAAAATATAAATATAGATAAAATACGTAGACTTCAACATCTAAAAAGGATTTAAACCATTTTGACAACGTTAATTAAGCTTTTAATGAAAGATCGCTCTCGGAGATTGAATTAAGAGAAAGTATATAATTATATCATGCCTACTTACTGCCTCAGTGACTGATTCGATTATTTCTGTTTCTAAGCATTTCTCGAATAAATTAATACTTATAAAATAAAGCCGCCATTGAATCATATACATAACAAAACAAACAAACAAAAAATACTTTATTTTCACCACAATGTTACAAAATAAAACTTAATTTAAAAAACCAAAATGTAGCGAGAAAAGGCGGCTTCATCGCTAAAAAGCGATTTCTTCCAGGCAACCTTGAAGATTTAGATTCACAATAATAAATGAATAGTGACTATCAAAAAAAATTGTTAAGTAGAAACAATATTATTTGTGTAATAATATTTGAATAATTTCTAATAGTAAGTATAATATATAAGTGAAATCCCGTTTCCCCGTCGTGGGGCATGGGGCGAACACATTTCTGTGTCCGTTTGACGGATCTGTTCTTTAACAAGCAAATAGTGGATCAGACTTCTGTGCCCTGCCTGATCGAAACAATTGTTTGTTTCCCTGGCATTCGAACCCAAGACCTCTCGCGCTTAACGTAATGCTAGGCAAAGGGCAAAAAAACGTTTAACCACTTGGCTATAGAGGCGGAGTATAATATATAGGTAAATAGTATAATACCTCTCATTATTTTATTTGTATATGTCCGATTGTGTCTATGCTTTTCGTTATCTCATTTTCAAATTAAATGTCTATAGCCAAGCATTTTTATAGGCATTCATCATATAGATCGTAAACTCTCAGATCCCATCTAGCAGAGGTTCATATCTTTAATGACCCATTAAGAGTCTTGCTTCTTCTTTATATGTCGTTTAAGTCTTTATTGTTATTAAGAAGCAGATAAATGTGCTAGTTATTCATTCTTATATTGCTTCAATATTCCTAAAATACGCATAGATCTTAAGAATTACATAATTCAAAAGGACCTAACTGTGTCGCTCCAACAAAGGCGAGCCGAGACGTCTTTTAATATATTTTGAATGCCTTAAATTATTAAGATACCTGTATAATGATGAGTTGAAGTCTGTGAAATATTTACCCTATAAACCTTTTTAATCTTCGCATTCTTCTGCACACAAAAAAGTACTTTTATATTTTTAAAGGATGTGTCACAGTAGGATACAAACTATATTAGTATAGTTTCTGTCTGTATATTGCTTTCACATTGGCCAAAGTCTAAATAAGAACAAATAAAATATTCTCCACAGAAATATATTTAAATTACTGTATTTTTGTTGTCTTAACTAATAAACTCCAACGCTAATATTTGTAGTGTGAGCTTTGAAATACTAAGCTATGAAAAGAATTTAAAACAGTCGATTATTATTTTCGTCGTCTTCTATTTATCATAACTACATTGAAAACACCAAAACGCAAACCTGAGATCTTTCGTTATGACTTATGCATACGTAAAAGTACAGTTACTACAATATTATGACAGAGAGAGCAGATAAGTGGAGTTCAGTTGCTGGAAGATGAAAACCCTTTTTTTACTTAGAGGAAGCGAATTTTTACTGACGCTTCCGCCGGGCCATGTATACAGTGGCGAGGGAAGTGTGGGAAGATGAACACCCTAATTTAACCTCCCTTGTTTCAATTGTATTTTTCTGAAATGATGTCTACATCAACAAAACAAGAAATCGTTTAATATAAGATAAATCAATTTCGCTACAAATTCTACACAATTATAAAGTATTATAAAATTAATTAAAGTACGCAGTTTACGGAATAGATCCTCTAATCGAGTTAGAAATTCTCAACTGTAAGATCCCCTTTTCAATGAGAAAGCGAAAGTTTCCTTCCAAAATGAGTTCGTGTTCAATCTTTTCGTAAACACGTCTTATTATCATATCAATAGATGCACGTGACTGATATGCGAGGAAATCTTTTTGTTCGGAAAACGCTTATGTTGTTCTTTCCCGTACGTGACTCAATTAAACGCCTTCTAATAATGTAACTACGTAATTGGATGTGATTTTAGTCAAGTGTGCGCCCAATAAGGGAAAGGACAATCGTAAGTTAAACAAACAGAGTAGAATAAAGGACGCAATCCTTTTGTACTCAATTTGAACCAAAACTGCAAAATATCATTTCAATAGTCAAGATGAACTATGGCGGGGCTTCGTCTGCTTTTTGCAGTCTTTATCTTCTTCATCTGCCTTTTAGCACAGGACCTCAGGACCGTCTACCATCTGAGAGGTAATATAATCATTAAATAATACATTATGCTGGTTTCCTCACGCTGTTTTCTTTAGAGAGGAAATTCATATACACAAAGATACATAATTTTGTTGCACAACTGCGGATCATACTTTCGAACCACGAGCAACCAACACTCATAAGGCAACCACTATCTAAGCCCAATATTGATTGCTGTCATCCTAGAATTAGATGTTAGCAACAGGTTATTGATTGATTGATCACGTAATGTACTATGAATACCATTAATCACACAACGCCAGTTGGTCGCGCCGCGATGTCGCTGGTATCCTGCGGCTCATGACAGATTGTGGACTGATGGGATAACTTGTCAATTTATTAGCGCTGTTCGTTTCAGGATCTCGGTCAAAATCAGGGATGACATGAACATATGAGGTTGCTAGAGGCAGATTGGCCTAATAACAAGAAACATGATTTTCAATAAGGAGTTAAAGAAAAATGCGCAATTAACTTAGGCGAAAATTATTATTGTGTTTATATTGAAATAGGAATACTCAAAACAATATTAACAAATAAAAATGTAACTAGCAAAATGTATTATTATATATATTGCATTAAACACAACAGGTCATCGGTTTAAATCCCGGGGAACGACAGATTGTCTCCCGGACACAAAAGTCTGATCAACCAGTGTCCATCCTATGCGTGATAAGGAATCAACACACACACACACCCGCATTTTATACAGCTAATATAAATTAGTGGTATTCTGTTCGTCCGAATGGATTATCTAATGCTTAACAGTAATTAGCATAATCAACTTTATAATTAATTACTCGAACTCAAAAAGAGTTGAAAAGGCTTCTAATCATTTTAGCATTATAGTGCATGTGCCAGCGCTGCTTTGTATCAAGCTTATCATGCCTTTAACATACAGTTTAAAACTTTTAATCACTTTCATACAAAGCTTTTCCTCACTGTACATAATATGATAAGCGAATTATTACAAAAGCTTTAAGCTATTCATGATATAAACACATGTAGAAGAACGGAATAACTCGGGGTTCTCTTGATGGAAGGAGAAATTAAAGATCTACTGGCGACCTATTATGGCTAAAGATAAACAAGTTTTAAACAATTTTTTCGTCTTCTACGCAGAGACATTGGCGGACATAATGTTAAATACTGTCTATATATTAGTTTACGCGAGTAGTACACATTTAAATAAAACACTTTAACGGTTTAAAACGCGATATATTAGTTAAACTTATTTGAAAATGATTTTCGGTCCGACGTTTCGGATGCTTTGCAGCAGCCGTGGTCACGGGCGACTAAAGATGGAGGATGTCTCTGACGTCAAAGTAAAAAATTGCTACGCTTTCGCCATCTGTTCCGTCGGAGTTGGTATTTGGCGAAACTGGCCGGGTCCTTACAGAATTGACTAACGGTGTCTTCGCGTTTGCCGGTATGCTGTTTATTGGGATCCAGAGTTTTTAATATGGGATCCCAAGTGTTTGAAAATTTGGGGGAGGACGGCCCTCAAATTTTCAAACACCCCCCAAATTTTAGAACCAAATTCTAAAACGCAATTATTGAAATTTCAATATATTGCGTTTTAAACCGTTAAAGCGTTTTATTTAAATGGACATAAAGTTGCTTAATTGTTTTCCTGTTTGTTCTATAATCTTTGGAAAATAACTTTTGTCAAAAACATTCGATTTTCATTGAGATATAATGGTTATAATTCTTCACTATCACTGCAGGCTTAGTAACGTTCCAATTGTTTTGGTATCTCGCTTCGCTATTCCCCTTTATTAATATTGATAATTTATATAACAGGGGGGTAAGCTTT